CCCTGGCTGCGGGCCTTGGCCGAGGTCGCAGGCGCTTGCTCCATGCTGGCGCCAGATGTACCTGCAGGAGGAACCCAGCCGTTCAGACACCGGGTTCCACCGCCCCCCCAGCCCTCTTCCGGGATGGGGTGGGTGGGCCAGAAAGGCTTAGCCATTGCAGTGGTTCCCGCTTTCCTTTTCCGTGCGGGAGCTCCTGCGCCGAAGCTCCTGGCCTCCCCTCCCACCACTAGCCACCGCTGGGCAGGCTTGGGTAGACCCCTTTTCCGGGGCTGGCCACGCGGTGGGGCAGCAGAGTCGGGGTGTGGTCCTAGGGCTGCGCCCTCTGGTGCCTACAGCTGGAATGATGGCCAACCTTATTGACAGGTGTTGGCATCACAAAACTCATTCCCAGCCCCTTCCCAGCGTTCTCTGTGGAGTGGCCCCGCTGACAGTGCACAGCCCAAGGGCGAGTGCCCTTGCCTTACCCAGCTCTGCACAAAGCCCTGACACCTCCCACTCCATCTGCTCACCAGGCCAAGCACAGAACCCCTCCCCAAGCTGTGCAAGGGCCCTTGTGCTCAGGACAGTCTGCTGCGCCCAAGCCCGAGTCCCCTCAACTCTTGGTGTGGCCAAGGCCAGAAAAATGCCCCGAAAACCCTCTTTCCTTTGCAGAAACCTTCTTTGACCCCAGCTATCTTGGAATGGTTAAAGCTCACCAAGCTTGTTGGTACTGGTGTGATGAGGCCTGGAGAACCACCCCTGCCCCAGCTTTGTGTAATGCACATGGGCACCCCCATCGTGTGCAGCAGCCAGGCCTGTGGGACCACGTGGGGGCTGCATAAACCGCAAGCTCATGGTGGCTCCTCTTTCCTTGAGCTGTGCACCAGTGCACCAGGCCAGGAGGCTCTCAGTGGTGGCCAGGAGTGGGGTAGGGGGTGTCGCCAGGATGCAGGGTCCAGGAACCTTCCCCCCACTACTTTGCAGGAGAGGGCCCTCCCCATTCTGGCTCTGGAGGGCTCCATGGAAACCAGTGGTTCTTCAGCCCCCACACTGCAGGCTGGTCCAGAGTCCACCCCTTGGCCTCAGGCTTACATTCAGATGTGGGCCAGCAGCACCTCTGTGGTCTCCAGGGCCTGGGGCCGCCTGGTGTGCTGGGCTCCTGCCTCCTTGCACCCAGCATCCAGTTTGGGGGAGTCTGCTCCAGGATAAACTGGGGGAAGGCAGGGAGCTAACCAGGCCCTTCACCTGGCAGGACATCGGGTAGACAGTCTTTTGGGGGTCTGGCCGGACCAATCCTCTGTGTTCCAGTTGTACAAGGGGCTTCCTGCTGGCAGGGCTGCTTTTCTGGGTCAGAGCCACTAAGTCCAAGTCCTTGTTCCCAACCCAGCCTCACCACCCCCCCAAGTCTGTCCCTTGCTGGCAGGACCGGCCACCTTCCTGGTCCCTCTTCCATCCTAAGTGCAATGCCAGGCCGGAATTGGAGCCGGATGACAGGGCATGAGGCTCCGCCCCAGGGAGGTGACAGCCAGCCTTGCTGGCTGCCACTGTCAGGAGCTGGAGTCGGTGACCCCCCTCCCTGTGGGGAAGGGGGTGGGATCGGTTCCCTCCAGGGTTCTAGGCCTCTGGAGCCCACGGGCATGGCCGTGGGACCCTCCCCAACTCGTAGCCCTGTCCTGGCCTGAAGCAGCCCTCCTAGGGACCCTGCCGGTGTCGCCTGGGGGCGGGGAATGCCCATCCTTTTGGGCCGCCTCAAGACGGCCCAGGACCATAACAGCTGCGTGCTGTGCAGCTCGATCCCCCCAACCCCTTACCTGGACGCCGCTCCACTGGCCGAGCCCCGGTGGACTGCGCAATCCCTGCGCCGGTTCCGCCGTGTCTCCGGTACCGCTGTGTCCCCGGCACCGGCAGAAGCTTCCAGGCAGCGGCGCCGATCCGGGCCTGGCTGCTCAGTGCTGCCCCCGATGGTGGTGGAGGGGGTCGCACTTAAAGGGGCCGCACACAGTGGGGGCTGTACAGTGGGGCTGGGACCAGCGTGCCTCCAATTTGGGGGTGTGCAGAGCGTGGTGGTACAAGTCCCTGCAGCATCCCAAAGCACAGGTCTCGGGATCTAAACGGGGGAGCTGTGCCCAGGAACAGCCTGCCAGTCTCTCCAGCCCCACCTCCAGGACACCTCCTGACCAGCTGGCGGCCTGGTGGGGCCTCGGAGCAGGGCCCTGGAGGAGTCCCAAGCCCTGGCCCGGGTTGCAGAGAGATTGGTCAGAGGGCTCCTGGAATTCATGTCTCCGTTGGACCCAGGCAGGAGCAGATGGGCTATTACTCCCTGCCCCACTGGCCTCTCACGAGGCCCTATCTGCTTCACTGCTGGAGATGCCAAAGTCTCTGTAGGTACCTGGGGCCAGATGGCCCACCCACTCCCAAGTGGGGCCTGCAGCCTCCTGTGTCCCCAGCATGCCATCCCCTTCTGGGCGAGGCCACTCCTGTATCTGGCATCCAGACCGGCAGAGGCTGTCATTGCCTTGGGAAGGTCTGCAAGTGGCCCACTTGCAAACTACAGGCTGACACCCTCACTCCCTGTCAGTCAGCACCTGCGCCAAGATGCAGAGCCTCGGAACATTCTAGATTGGTGGAGGGATGGGTCACGGATACCTCTGGCTCTGAAAGGCAGGACCTGCCCTCATTCTGTGTCCTGTTCAGTGCAGGGTGCCTTGAAACAGCAGTGCTGCTGCTTACTGTCTGGTCCTGTTCAAACCACCCCCACGTCAGGGAACCCCACGACGACGGTGCTGACCTCAGGCTCTGGAGGAATCAGCCTTGTGCCTGATCCACAGCCCCTGCTCAATGGTCACTAGCTGTCCCGCGCCTCCAGGACGCAAAGTTCCCTAAGCACAGGGACCCGAGGAGAGGCTCCCAGTTGGCTCAGACATGGCAGGAGCTGCAGCCGCGTGGCCCGCCCACCCGTGGGTCTCCTGGCAACGGCAGCCCTGGCGGGTGGGGCTGTGGGGCCGCCAGGCGGGGGTGGGGAGGCCGTGCTGAGCGCAGGTGCACAGCTGCCCCCACAGGGCTGGAGCTGTGGCCCGCCCAGCTTGGACAGCACGTGGCATGTGCAGACCCAGGCCTGGCTGCTTGCCGAGCTTGGTGGGAAGTCCCCCCTCAGACCACTTCAGGACAGTGTTGTGGGGAGACCGGCAGCTACCACTCTGGTAAAAAGGGCTCTTTGGCCCCAAGCAGGAAGCTCAGGACTTTCCTGCCAACCCACTGGAGCCACGGAGTAGAGAGAAAAACAGATGCACACAACGGTAAAACAGGAGAGCTTTATGGTCTGAGTGGAGTGTCTGAGAAGGAGAGCCTCCCCGCGCTGGCCTGTGGCGCTCACCTGCGCAGAGGCCTCACCTGCGCAGAGGTGCAGTTGTGGCCACACAGCAAGTCTGAAAGACTGCCCCGGGGAAGCGCCTCTCTCCCAGGAGAGGCCTTGAGGCTGCTGTTCCCTTGCCAGCCTCAGCTGGCGCAGGGCCTTGGCTGCCCTGCAGGGGGAGGTGCTCCTGCACCTTCCCTGGAGTCTGCACACCTGTGCTCAGGGCAGCACCACACTCTGCTCTGGGTGCACAGGGAGGGGTCCACAGGAAGCCTGAGCCTTGCAGTAGCGGCAGAAAATGGAACCCATCAGCATGCTGTGGCCTGGGTGGGCTCGGGAGGCAAGCAGGAGCAGGCGCTGGGGTGACATCTGAGAAGCCAAGCAGCCCCCTGCCCTGCCTCTGTAAACAGACCCTCTTGGGTCCCTCCTCCGCCTCAGTCACATCCCTGAGAAACACTGGGGACTGGCCACGGCTCTGCCCAGAGAGGGGCCTGGTCGTCCACCAAGCTGGCTGCAGCCCAGCCATCCCCTCCCTCCCTGCAGTGCTTGGCCAGGAGCCACTGACCACAAAGGCCTGGCTACAGGCCTCTTCCAGCATGGAAGCAAGTACAGAGTAGGCCGGGCCAGGCTGTAGAGGGCAAAGATGATGGCTAGGACGCAGCGGTAGTATGGTCCCAGCAGGCAGGCGCAGGCAGAAGCCTCCCCAGGCAGTGACAGGTATGCCCCTCCCTCCCCCAGGGTGGCCAGCTGCCCTCCCAGGCCTAGAGCTCCTCGTAGTCACCGCCCCCGGGGTGGTGGCCACCCAGGGCCCCGCCACCCAGGAAGGCCTCCAGCTCGTCCACGGCCTGCCTGTCCTTGCTGTGCGGGGGCTTCCTCCTCCTCCGCTCGTCCCTGCCCTCCTCCCTGTCCTTGGTCTTCTTGTGTCTGCTCTTCTTCTTCGCGGCCTTTTCTTCCTCCTGGGGAGGGTGGAAGGAGGGGGCGTCACAGGGTCACTGTGAGTTCCCAGGACCCAAGCTTCCCGAGCCCTGGCCAGCCGGGGGACTGGGCGGCAGTGCCCGTACCTCTCTGCTCTTCTTCTTCTTCTTCCTCTCCTTAGGGGGAGGCTTGCCTTCCTTACCTGCACAGATGGGACAGACGCCTCAGCTCCTGCTCCCAGCTACCTTCTGCGCTGCCCAAAGCAGTGCTGGGGCCCCCCAGGGGCTTTGCTGACTGGTGTGGGGAGGAGAGGGGTCCTGAGCAAGCCAGCAGACTGGGCCCTGTGTGGGCCCAGGACCTGACAAGTACACCTGCTGCAGGAAGTGAGGTGGTGCCGGAGTGGGGCCCAGCCCGGGGGGTGCCTCAGGGCAGGGCTTCCGGCAGGAGCACAGCCCACTTCTGCGCCACCTCAAGCAAGGCAGGGCTCTGGTGGGCCTTGGTCATGCACCTCTGCCCTGGACAGGCGACCTGGGGCATCCCAGCTATACACAAATGCACTTCAACCTGGGAGAGGCCTGGAGGGAAAGCCCCTCCCTCTCCATTTGTGGCGCATGAGTCCTGGGTGAAGCTGCTGGGCAGGGGCAGAGCTGGGCCCAAGGATGCTTCCAGGTCGCAGCCCTAGGCTGTCACAGGAACCGACAGCAGAAGGTGGGGAGCCAGGGCTGGCCCGAGGCTCATCTGGGAGAGCCTGGTGCTGACAACACCAAGTCAAGGGCTGAAATCCCCTTACTGGTCATCTTTTAAAAAAACAAAACAAAAAAGGTGGGGAGCCAGGGCCAGTGAATGAACCCTGGAGCTGGCCAGGGCCCTGTGCACAGCTGTCCACACGAGGGCAGAGGGCAGGGTGAGTCAGAGCTCTCAGTGAGCTGGCAGCACTGCCCAGCCTGCCAAATGCCTCCTATGGGGATACTCAGATGCCCCAGCTGCCCACCCCTATAGTCTGGCCTGGCCCAAAGCCCTGTGACACCCTGAAAGCCTGGGTGTGGTCAGTACAGTCGGCACAGGCAGCCTGGGATTAGTGGCTCCAACTCTCAGGCTACAGGAGACCTCAAACAGGATGATGGGGCATGGCCCTGCTGGTTAGACTGGCCGACTGCCATGCTGCAGAGATCAGGCTTGTGCACATGAACACCTTGGTTCCAGACAAAGCCAGGAAGCAGGTGTAGCCACCTGTACTTTGGAGATGCCCACGGTGCACAGCCAGTGGGTGGGGAAAGGCCCCAAGGCCAGCTGTGTTTCCCTAAAGGCAGACTTCTGGGCCACCACAGGCCCGTCACGCCCCAATTCCTGTGAGGCACCCAAGCACTGGTGACTGACCCTCCTCACTGCTCTCCTTGGGTCCTGGCTCCTCCAGCCCCAGCCCGAAGAGATCCGAGTTGTTCTTCAGTCTGAAGGAGGGGACAGGGGGCTTAGGGGGTGGAGGCTGCTGGGCAGGGCCAGCATCCTCATCGGTCACATCAGAGAGGTCTTCTCGCACAGGGAACTCATCCTGGAGAGGGAGCAGCTGGTCCGACCACCATCCCTTTCCCACCCCCACGGGACCCCAGAGGCTGTGGGGCCCCCAAGCTCAACCCAGAGTCAGACTGACCAGCAAGTCAGAGCGCAGCAGCGTGGGGCAGCTCTCCCACTGGCCCTGGCCCTGTCCCAGCCCTGCTCAAGCTCTATGGCAGACACAGGAAGCCACCTCCTGACCATGCTCTGCCTTGAGGGGATGGCTAAGCCGCCTCAGCAGTGTGTCCCTACCACCCTCCGCTGTGTGTCCGACTCTTCACTCTCGAAGTCAGGGTCATCCATGACAAAGGACAGCATCTGGGCAGCAATGGGCCCCTCAGGGTCACTGTCTTGAGGACGGTGCCTGCTCCTCCTCTCCCACCTTGAATCTGTGAGAAGAGCCCTTGGCGGGGGGCTTGGTGCTGCCAGGCTTCTCAGGACCAGAGTGAGATGGGAGAACCCCTGGCCAGGGGGCCACTGAGGCTCTTGTGGGGTGTGGCCTCAAGGCTTTTGTAGAGGACCTTTACAGACAAGGAGAGGGTCAGGGTGCTCCGAGGCCGGGCCGCCCCTCCCCTTATCTTCTGGCCATACCCCTGGGGACCCCACCCATACCGTTCAGTAGCTGGCTTTGAACACTGCTGGAAAGCCAGGACAGTAACTTCGGGGTGATCTGCTGCTGCCTCTGCTTCCTCCTCACTTGAAAGTGTGATGTTTTTACTGGGGACAGGGCCTGAGGGCAGCAGGGCTCCACCATGGGGCTGATCCTCAAGGTCCACGTCATCTTGGAAACCTGCCACCAGGGGGTTTCCTCCCAGGGCCTCCCCATCACTGCAAAGGAGGAAGCCAGGCAGTCAGAGGTCATGAGGTCGGGGCATAAACCCCACTCCCCACCCCTCAGCTCTGGGCAGCTCCAGCACCTGACATGCACTGATGGGGGCTGTTCCACTCCAGTGTGCACATACTAGCAGGGAGACCTGCTTCATGGCTGGTCATGGGGGCTTCTGAATGGGGGGTGGTGCATGAGATTAGTGGCTCCCTGCTGCTGGTCAGAGGGGTAAAGGATGTGGGGACCCTGTGGCTGGTGACTCGGTGGGGAAGGCTGAGCCCAGTGTGGGGGGCGTGCTCAGGGGTGCTGGGGCTTTATTTCAGGGTTTGTGCGTCTCACGGGGTTGTGGAGCGGGGGAGCTGGGTGTGCTGAGAGCGCCCAAGATGGGATTTGCCAGAAGGGAGTCGTCCCCAGGGTTTGAGCTCAGGGCTCAGGTGGAGGCAGAGCCGGGGCAGTTTGGCAGACAGGATGTGGTGGGAGGGGGCCAGCAGCGCACGGCTGGAAACCCAGGAGAAGGCCCAGCTGAGGGTTCCAGTGCTGGGACCTGGGGGTGGGATTCAAGGCCTGAGGCTTTTCCTCCTCTTTGCAACCCCTGTGGAGACCACATTTTGTGGCCTGGTGCTCTGCACCTGAACCTCCCGACATCACCCAGAGTGGCCTCACCAATGCCTTCCACATGGAATTAGCCTAGGGATATTCCCAGGCACCCCACCTTCAACAGGCTGTCCTGGGTGGATCTGGCCTCACTCTTCCTCAATCAGCCCCTCTCGAGGCTCACAAAGTGCCCCAGGCTGTCCTAGGGCAGCTGGATGTCCCATGGTCAGTCTGGACAGGCCTTTCCTGAAGTTTGGGGACCAGCCTGAGCCATTCCCTCGGCTCCAGCCAAGCTCTGCTCTTTTCCTCAGCCGACAAATGCTGGTGAATCAGCAGAGCAGGACATCCCCTCTGCTCACCCAGGGAGCATGGCTGCCCAGGCCTCGAGGCCAGGTGTGAGCAGACCGAGTGCTGGCCTCAGGGAACCAACCGACCCCAACCTGTACCTGTCACTATCCTGCTGTAAGACTTTGGCTCTGACTTTCTTCTCATCCGTCAGGGTGGCTGTGTCTTCTAGGAAGCTGCGGTCAAGGTTGTCCTCAGGAACAAAGTCCTCGACATTCTGGACTTTTGCTGGGGCTTGTGCAGCTGGGGCTGGCTCTGTGGACAGTAGATGGTTTCTCCTCATGTAGCACCTGACCCTAGGCCAGGCCCACTTCCAGGGCTGTGCCCAAAGGACTGGGACTCCAGGGCAGGTGGCATGTGCATCCTGGCTGGAGGCTACTGGCTGCCTCTAGAGGTTGGCCACAGGGCTGCCCTACCCAGGAGGAAGGTGGGAGCATTCCAGAGGCATGGGGACTGCATCCCAGCCTGTGAGGGCACATGGGGCCAAAGGTGCGGGGCTGCTTGCCAGGGAGCTGCTCCACCAGTCCACCTGGAGAGAAGATTGCTCCTGGGGCCTACCTGGAGGTGAAGGGGCCATGTCAGCAGCAGGCGAGGTCCCAAACAGCCGTGAGATGATGCTGCGTCGTGGGGGTGGGGCCGGGGCTGGGGCCAAGGGGTGTGTGGGGGGAGGCAGGGCCTCTGAGGGGGCTACAGGGGACATGGAGGACGGTGGCAGGGGGCAGGATGAGGGGGCGCTGAGGGGCAGCTGTTGGGGGGGCTGGGGTGTGCTGGGGCTGGAGCTCCCTGTGGACATGGTGCTGGGAGGCACAACTGGTGACTGGGAGCCTGAGGATGGGCTTTGCCCATTAGCCACCAGCGGGGATGCATGGCCACGGTTTCGAGCCTCCATCATCTCGAGGAAGCTGAAGGGCAGAAGGCCGGGGTGAGAACAGAGAACGTCCTGCAGAGTGGTCACAGGCACCTGGCCTCATCCCTCCGGGAGTCACACGTGCACCCGCTCTGCTCACTGCACCCCCAAAACTCCTACACTGCACAGCAATGCCCCTCAGCGTGGACAGGGCAGGCCCCCACCTGCCTTCCAAGGGCATTTCCCAGCACATACTGGTGGCAAACAATTACTCCTAACCCATTTCCAATACTGAAAAAGAGTCCTAAGGGTGGGAGGGAATAATAGGCATAGATATGTACAAATGGTGGGCTTGGGCATCTCGTTCCCTTGCAGACACTTGGGGTCTATTTCCTATGTTTGGCTGTCCTGAGGCACAGCCGTCCAGGCTCCAAGCAGAATGTCACCAGAGGGCAACAAGAAGACCTTCCTGTGAAGGGAGGTTGGGGAAAAGAATAGAGAGGCTGGGGCCTGGCAGATGCATGCCCGCGGTCACTGTGCACTGCTGGCCTGAATGGCAAGCTCTGCCTACTCCCTGCCCTGCCCTGTGCCACACGTGTCACAGTCTTCCACTTGCAGGTGATAGGACCTGGGTACAAGGAGAGGCCTCCAACCTTCGTAGGAAGAGGGAAGCCCAAACCAGGGGGAGCAGGGCCCAGATGCTGCCCTGGGCTACACAGGTCTTAGCTGTGGCTTGTAAAACAATGTGCCATAGAATATGTATCCCACAGGCCAGGGATGACAGCAATCTCTGGGCCTCTCCTAAGGACAGTCTGAGCCACATAGCAGGACCTTCCTCTTTTGGGACAGGCTTTCACATGAGAAAGCCTGGGGTTGGGGGAGGGCTGGAATAGAGCTGGCCTCTGGACATCAGAAAGGAGATGTCTGAGCTGGCATCAACCTCACCAGTACATTCGGACTTCTGGGGTGAAAAGGAGGCACAGAGTCAAGGCACTAGGTTCTGGCACAGGACAGGGTGGAGTCCAGCCTCCGGTCCCCACAGCATAACTCTGGCCCAAGTCCTTGGGCAGGTCCCACCTCCTGAGGAGGGTTATAGGAATGCTGCTGAGCCCCAGTGTTGCTCCCTTCTGTTCCGGGCAGCCCATGGGGTGGGTGCTGAAGGAAGGCTCTGCTCAGGAAGATGTTCTGAACCACTCTCTGCTACTAAGGACCAGAAGGTTCCAGGTCCTGCTCCATGTACCTCTTTAGCACAAAGAGCCCTCCTTAAACCCCCTATTCTACCCTGGCATCAATCTGGAAAACAGCACTAAGCAGGGAAGGCAGCCATGGCCAGAATATATCACGGCCAGCCAGTCTGGCCAAAGTCTGGGCTGAACACTGGCCTGTTGGCAGTGGCCTATGCAGCATGCCTGGTGTGGCTCATTCTGGATGAGAAGAGTCAGGAAGTTACGGGTGAACAGCAGCCCACAGGCCCATCGCTCACCCCCTCATGAGCTGTGCCCTGTGCAGCCACACCAGCACCGACTGAATGCTCAAACATGCGCCCTGCCGGCCGATTAAAGCCTTGAATTGCCCAGCCCTGCCGTTCTATCTTCAGGAGTATCTGTCTCCACATGCTAGCAGCCCAGAGCTTCCGGAGGAGCCAGGGACCTGCCTCTCAAGGCAAGCTTAGCTCCATGTAAAATTTTAATTGACTTGTTCTAGACAAGTGCTTATTTTACTCTAAATATTTTATTATTGCACATTAATAATAAAAAATCCAAATACAGGAACAGGAAGGGCTGTAGGCTGACAGAGTGGGGAACCTTCAGGGCACCCATCTCACAGGGACTGGGAAGAGACTGCTGAGGGGGTGGTTGTTGGCATGAACTCTCTGCCACCTGCCTCTGTTCTCTGAACACTGCCACACTTGTGGCTGAAATGATGCTCACAATGACCAATTTGCCCCAAATGTGCGGCACTCTCCTCTGCTATCTCTCTAGGTACAGAATGGGACCTGACATCATGGCCATGTCTGCAGACACGAGGACCCATGGATGACCAAGTGCAGCGCCCACCCCTCCACTCTGGGGAGCTGTGGCACAGGCAAGCGCCCCCAGAGAGGCTCTGTTCCTTGGGCACCCGTCCCCCAGACACCTGCCTGCAGGTCTAACCTCCAAGGGCAGAGGAATGGGACGTGAGGCCCACATACATGTCGTAGTTCTGGTCCTCAGTCTCCTGTTGAACCGACAGTTCCTCCAGCGTGGCGTCAATGTCCAGCTGGTTAGTCTCCAGCTGCCGCAGCAGCGTCTCCCTCTACAGGAAAGAAGTGAACAGATGTGCACAGGACACGTCACCGTGGCGAGAACCTCCTCTCCATCCTCCCAGTGTCCCACTCAGCCTGCGCTTAATGAGCCAGACAGCAGCTGTGCACAGTGCTCAAGCGCTTTGTCAGGACCGTGAGCATGGCTCAGGGCCTGTGACCAGTCTGACACTAGGAGCTCTAGACTAGGCTTGTTGAGATGACAAGAGCCCGTGCAACCTCATCCAGGTGGTCAGCACAATGTACAGGCCACCAGTATGGCTTGGAGAACAGACGTCATTCATACAAGCAAGCCATTTATGCAACATGCCTGCTGAGGCTAAAAAGCCCTGATGTTCATCTGGAAAACAAAACCTTCCCACCACCTCCTCTAGCACTCCATGTGGGGCACACGCCTCTTGGTGGCAGAACTCGGCCCTCAGGTCACATCAGCTACAACTTTTACTTGGGCCTAAATGACTGCAGCCCCCACAGGCACAAGAGCCCCAGGGAAGCCCAGGAAGGCACTACCAGGCAGAAAGGCTCTGCCACTATGGCCTGGGGCAAGCCACGGTCCTGCTGGCCTGAAGACTAAAACTGATCTGATGGTGCCTCTGGCCTGTGCTGCTCCTGGCAGACCCTAGTCAACATGGCTATTTAAGTTTAGATTCAAATTTAATAAAACACAGGGATTGGAGAGTTCCAGGGCCACGTGTATGAAGAGCAGCCAGAGGACAGAGCAGGGCTGTGCGTTTCCACACCACAGAGGCTCCACTAGACACAGGCTTGACTACCACATATGGGAACACGGGCCACAGACTTGGCCCCGAGATGCTACCCGGTGCCCACACTGGGGGTGTGTTACAGGACAGAGCAAATAAACTACAAGGAAAAAGTATGAGCATGCACAGACTGAAGGAGACTTGGGATCTGCATGTCATGCTTTCATAAAAAGTTAAAAGGATCTGTAAGATGTAGAATGACACCAGGATCCAGAGAGAAAAAACGGGTATGCGATGATGGCAGACAAGGGTCCCATTTTTTTTTTTCCTTTTTGTCGTTTTTCGTGACCGGTAATGGGATCACAACCCTCAGTGTCGCGCCCGTACCGTGACCAGCAACGGGATTGCAACCCTCGGTGTCGCGCCCGCACCGCGCTCAACCAGCAAGCGGACTGGTCTCTATATGGGATCCAAACCCTCGGCAGGAGCGCCGCCGCACTCCCAGGTGCCGCACTCTACCGAGTGCACCACCGGGCCGGCCCAAGGGTCCCATTTTTAAAACAAAAATGTGACGAGAAATCCACAGAGCCATGTGAACCAAGTGTGCTGTGTGGGCTCTGATCCTGCTCTGAATACTGACCAAGCGTGTGATGACTTAAGAGAACTCCTGTGAGGTCTAAACATATGACAGTAACACTGAGCTGGATCAGAGAGTCCTAACTTTTTTAGAGATGTGTTTCAAGAAGATAAAGAAGGCCTGGGCTGTGCTTGCAGGCCATCCGGGGGCAGGTGGGCTGGGTTCTGACCACCACTGCAGCCTGGGGAGGGCCACCAGATGCCTGACTCTGTCCACAGCAGAAGGAAAGCTGCAGATGCAGCTGACACCAGGTTCTCCAGCTCAGACACTCTCATCTCAGCTCCCCATAGTGGCTTCGGAAACCAGCAGTAAACCCTTCACAGAAGGAGCAGTGGAGGGCAGCTGCGAGCATTTTAGAGTTGACTCAGTGACAAGAGGACACCCTGAGGAAAGGAGAAGCCATCCCCAAGATGCTGACATCTCTGAGAAGTCTGGATGCCCTGGCCTTCCTTCCAACTGAAATGGCCTTACAGCAACCCCACCCTCTAGGGTACTCATTTCTTTCAAAAGAAGAAAAAGGAAAGAAAGCAAGAAAGGCTGCCTCTGTGCTAGGCAAGTTTGATGTCCTTCTGGAGAAAGAACTGCAGGGGGCCACAGGTCCCCAGGCCCAGGCGGGGTGGCCCTGACCTGTTCAACCCTTCTCTCGCCTGCTGGACAACTTCATGCCAGGCTTCCCAGCCACAGCAGGCCAGGCCCTTCAGGGTGGCGCCTCCTCTCCCACCCAGGATGCCTTCTCTCTCCCAGCCTGGACGAGACCTCAAGCCCCTTTCTGGTGGTGTTCCTGGCTCTCTGCCTCAGTGAGTCAGGAACAAGGAAGTGTTGGGACTCCACGCAGGGACTCCAGCTCCAGAAGGCACCAGCACAGTTCAGGGCCAGAGAAACAGACACAGGGTCTATGTGCCCTTAAGTTCCTGGCATGCTAGGGGCTGGACAGTGGCTGTGGCTTCCCAGCACAAGGCCACAGCTGTGCCCCTCCCCAGCAAGCAACACCCCTACAGTGGAACCAGAAGAGTCCCAAGAACTCCTGGTGAAGCCAGCACCTCCCCTACTGGGTGATGAGGGCCAACGTCCTATGACAAGTCCATAGAGACATCACGTACCCCACACTATGATGGAACAAACCAAGTCAACCTCACCTCCATGGTCTTTTGTCCAAAACACCAAAATGGCCAACCATGAGAAAAACATCAGACGGACCCAAATGAGGAACAGACAAGAGAGCTGCCAGCTTAGCACATCCAGGGTGACGGCCCCCACAGGGTCTGAGGGACCCTGGGTAGAGAGGATGTCAGTCAGGCATCTGGTGGCCCTTCCCAGGCTGCTCCCCATGCCCTGGGGTTTAGCTCAGAGACAGCATTGGTTCCTTGGCTTTGACAAAAGTGTCATGAAATATGTTAATGCTGGGGAGAGCCAAGCAAGGGATACAGGACCCTCTGCACCACCTCTGCACATCTCTGTAAACCTAAAGATTCTTCAGAATTAAAACTTTACTGAGAAAACAAGCACCACCCACTGCAGCCCGCATGGAGAGGACTCACCTGAAGCTGCAGAAACGGAATGTTGAAGAACTTATGAAGGTACTTTAGGCCAAAGCTGTTCTTCATGGAAGACTCAGCATAGCGGAAATAGGAGGAGCCTGGAGGTCTGTTTTCAAAACAGCAGACAGAGAAGGGAAAGACCCTTGGTGGGCGGGGGCTGTGTGGCTCGGCCCCGTCCTGTGCCAAGGGACACACTTGGGCCCGACGCTGTCTGTCCACATGGGCCTCCCTCCTCTAGTAGGCTTTTGAGGAGTCACCCTGTGCAGGTGACCCTCCAGGTGGTCTGAGGACTGGACAGGAGCCAGGTGGCTCCCACGGTCCTGGCGCCTCACACACGCTCATGCCTACCACAGCACTGCCATCTGATGACACCCAAGCTTGGTGAGCTCCATGCAGTTGACTGCTCGGAACGTGCCCTCCTGCCCAACAACCCCCAGTGCTGAGGGTCTTGGCCCCTCCCTGCCAAGGCCAGGATCTCACTGCCTTGACGTGGCTCTGGGTATGCCTCATGCACCTGTCCAGGTTGTCGATGAATTCACGCACGTCGTCGGGCAGGATGACGCGGTGCTCGCCCATGTCACGGTAGTTCCCCAGCACACACACCGGCACGTGGGTCGGCACTTTGGGAAGCTCCCGCAGGATGTAGTTGAAGGTCCTTTGGAGAGCAGGTGAGAGGCCCACCTTAGCTTCAGCCAAGAGGCCCCCTCCCAGGGGAAGCTGCGCATGTGCCAGGGCCAAGGGCGAGACTGCTCTTCATTTCTAAGAACCTACTCACCCAAAAGCACGTGTTGCTGCTGCAGTTTAATTTTTATAATTTATTTGTAAGTATGATTTATTTGTTACATTTAAGATATTGCAGAGCAGTTGGGGGGGGAAGGGGAGAAGAGAAGGGGGAGCGGAGTAGGATGGGAGGAAGAGAAAGGGGGCGTGGTTGAGGCCTCTGGCACCCCCTTCCCTCTGGGAGGGGACACCAGGGGGCTTCCAGCTGCTGTTCAGTCGGTCGGTGATGCTGGGCTGGATGCAGACACTGAGGGGGCACGGCTAAAGCCCTTGGCCCCCCACCACCTGGCTTGGGAGCCCAGGCACTTCCTGCACACAGTTTAAAGAAAGTATAGCAAGCCCCTGTGAGTGCCTCCCCCAGCCTGCAGCTCCCTGCCTGCCTCTCCAGCCGGCTCGCTCCTCCTCTGCACCCCAAACAGGGGCCCCTGCTTTTCCTTGGAGTGCCACATGTCCACATCCCCACAAAACCGTTTCTGGCTCTGCCTGTCTCCAACCTCATCCTGCATGCAGCCTTGTGTGGCTTGTCTCTCTGGGCCCCACTCTGAGGCCACGGCTGTGTACACCATTGCTGGGGAGTCCCTGATGCTGACAGACAAGCACATTATCTTTGGGGCTCTGATCTTCAGCAAACAATGCCACCACAAAGGTTCTGCACTGTCTGCTGCATGGGTGGGCAAGTAAACTCCAGAATCTGTGCCTCCTGTGGAATTACCCACTGCTCGGCCTCACAGGTGTCCAAAACTGTTCTCCACACAGCTTGCAAAGAAATAACTGGTGGACTGAGTGCAACAAAACACCCCAATCAAGAGAAAGTCACCCCAAATTTGTGATAAATACCTGTACTGTGTTCCTAACTTGATTTTAAATCTCTTATTTATACACAGTCACTTATGCTACTAACAAAGGCCCAGCATATCTTCAGCTTCCCACACAGGCCGTAGCCTCCCTGTCCTCTGGTGTCTCCTCTTGGGGGTGTCTCCTGCCTCTCACTGGCCCACGAGCAGTGAGGTGCCCATGCAGCACTGGAAGGCGCTGACCAAACCAGTGGCATTTTCTGTCCTTTGCATCTGGCACCAGCACTGGGGGACTCTGGAGCAAGTGCCTGTCACCCCTGCCCAGGCACCACCTGGGCCAACCAACACGGTGCTCAGGGCCCCAGCACCAGTGCAGCACCAGGACCACCCACTACAGGCTCTCACTGGTCAAGATGAGCAACTGCGCCACCTCCTCCCCAGCCAGCCTCAGCTCCACGCTGACTCATGTCTCCCACCTCTCCTACCCACTCTGCACACCATGGCCCAAGCAACTGTCCACACGCAAACTGACCACAGCCCACCCCAGCTGCCTGGTCCCCACTGGCCCTTGGGGTGCTCCTGTGGTGGGCAGGGGTGGAGGTGCTGTGGAGTGCATCTAGCAAAGGCTACAGGACACTCTGATGGAGCTGACATGCCACTCAGGCTCTAGACCGGATTCCACCTGGGAAAAGCCACTTCCTGCTCACCTGGCTAACAGACCACTGCCGCCTGAGCAGAAGAAGTTCGCCTGCCTGTCCTGTACCTGAGGGGAGTGGAGGGCAGCTCCCATGTGAACGTGCCTGTGACAAGTATGACCCACTAGGTTGGTGCTCAGACTTGGGCATGGGTGCCACCTGCTCTGGGCAAGGTTCTCCTGCCATCTGTGGCCAATGTGCTGCTGCAGCCACCCAGAGGCCTCTCCTGTGTGCTAGCAGCCAGTCTTCGTCAGGTGGTGCTGCAGGTATGTGGCTCCCTGAGGGCTGGGAGGGCTGGGGTGGAGCCATGAGCGTCGTGCAAAGGCTGGTGAAGTCCATGGCAGTGCGAAGGCCATGGCAGTGCAGACCACAGGCAACTGGGAGCTGCAGGTGCAGGTTCTTCAGGTCTGAGAGGCTGACGTGCACTGAGTGCAAGTTCTCACCGCAGGTTTGGTGCACAAACCTGTGGAGGACAAGGTGTCCGAGCATGACATGAAAATGTTCTCAAAGAAGCGTGCTCCTCAGGCGCGTGCAGCAACGTCCTGACACTGAAAGAAACCATGTGCGTGTGCAACACCNACTTCCTGCTCACCTGGCTAACAGACCACTGCCGCCTGAGCAGAAGAAGTTCGCCTGCCTGTCCTGTACCTGAGGGGAGTGGAGGGCAGCTCCCATGTGAACGTGCCTGTGACAAGTATGACCCACTAGGTTGGTGCTCAGACTTGGGCATGGGTGCCACCTGCTCTGGGCAAGGTTCTCCTGCCATCTGTGGCCAATGTGCTGCTGCAGCCACCCAGAGGCCTCTCCTGTGTGCTAGCAGCCAGTCTTCGTCAGGTGGTGCTGCAGGTATGTGGCTCCCTGAGGGCTGGGAGGGCTGGGGTGGAGCCATGAGCGTCGTGCAAAGGCTGGTGAAGTCCATGGCAGTGCGAAGGCCATGGCAGTGCAGACCACAGGCAACTGGGAGCTGCAGGTGCAGGTTCTTCAGGTCTGAGAGGCTGACGTGCACTGAGTGCAAGTTCTCACCGCAGGTTTGGTGCACAAACCTGTGGAGGACAAGGTGTCCGAGCATGACATGAAAATGTTCTCAAAGAAGCGTGCTCCTCAGGCGCGTGCAGCAACGTCCTGACACTGAAAGAAACCATGTGCGTGTGCAACACCAGGAGGAGCCCCCAGCTGGAGTCCACCTAGTGCTAATAGCGCAGTCTCGATGATGGCAGTTTTTTTTCTCTGCATTTTCCAGTTTTCCTACAATGAACATGGATTAAACGTGCAATAATAATAAAACTTCAAAAGCAGAGTAAAAAGGCAGGGACTACCCCACAGGCCATTTCTAAAATGAGCTGCTGTAGGTCCTCCCTTCAGCATTTCCAAGTTTGACTTTCAGTGGCGTGTGGAGCTGGCCAGGCTGCTGTGAGGCATCCCTGTCTCCAGCTGACGGATGGAAGGGCTTCACGGGGACCTGCCTTCCTCCCGTGAGCAACTGAGCACCGTGTCTTCCCGGGTAGATGACCGTTCACGTGTTCTGCCATAATGGGAGGCTGGAGGAACTAAGTGGGTCCTACGTGACTCTGCAGAGAGGACTCTGGAAGCTCCTGCCCAACTCCCCAGGCACTGCCAGTGCACCTTCTCCCTCGGTCCACTTGGCTCTTCCTCCTTCCACTCTGATGAGTCCGAACTGTGAGTCTTCCCTAGCGAGTCATGGAGGTGGGGGTCTTGGGGAGCCCCCAACACAAGTGGCCACTTGATCCTGCCAAATTTTAGACGGTGTCTTCAGGAAGGACTGGGGGGCTGTGGAGGGTGCGTGCCTCACCCCGGACTGCCTCGTGCAACTGGCCTGAGCTACCCTGCCCATTCCGCCCTCTGTGCACAGATGGGAACACGGCACAGATGCCCTAGACACCTGTGGCTCAGCTGCCCCACGGCCCTACCAGGCACTCTGCACCAGCAGAGCATCACCCGCGTGGTCATGTGGTACAAGGGCCGGCTCACGCTTACCACTGCTTGGTGATGTCAAACATCATGACCACCCCGCTGCAGTTCTTGTAGACATCCAGGAACTCGGCGTCCAGGGCCATTTCAGATTCTGCCTGGGGACAGGAGGTAACAGGTATAAGACTGTGTCCTGGGGCAGGCGCCACCATGCAGACTCCCAGTAACCTGGAATAGGCCAAATAGGACTTTATTTGATAACATAATAGAGCTATTTTCATCTGGAAAAAAAATGCCGAAGAGAGGGCCCTGCTGCATAAGCACGATTTTCTGGTGTGCAGTGGAACGCTGGCCTCAAGGGCCCAGTGGTAAACACCGAGACTGCCTGTGAAAAGCCGCCTGCCCTGGGGTCCCACTGAGACAAGCAGCGCTGCCCCACGGTGCCCAGATGTGCCAAGCTGCCACTCAGAGACAGAGAACAAGTGCTGCGGCTGCCAGTGCCCTTGGTAAAGCATGCCTTCCAGGACGTTCTTGAGCACATGAACGGTGGCTGCCATGTGGGGGCCAAGTCAAGAGACCATGCCAGGTGGGGGTCACTGAGCCTGCCCTCCCTAAAAGAAGAGGAGGGAGATGCTCTGCAGAAAGAATGAGAAGACCGAACAGAGGCTTCTCGGAACAGGAAGGAGGGCTGGTGTGACCACAGGAACAGGTAACTGATGGTCTGCCCTGACTGCCAGGGAGGGAGCCAGAGGACCCTGAGGGCTGCACATGCCCATAGGTTTCAGGGCGCTAATGCCAAGGGGAGTCGTATGTTTTGGGGGGCTGATGCCACTGTGTCAGGGATATATAATTTAAGTTCACTTAAACACCTCTCTGGTCACTCAAACTCAAATTAGGGGTCAGTCTGGCATGACACCTGTCAAGCAAAGCAAAGGCACTCAGTGCAGGCAAGCTGCCACCCCAGCCCGACCGCGGGCAGTGTGGGGTCCTGTGAGCAGCGGATGCGTCGGTGGCCACAGTGCCCAGCATAACCAGGGTGCTCAGGGACAGGCAGGCAGAAAGGTCTGAGCACCCGGGCGCCTGCTCACCCCCACTGGGGCACGCATCCCAAGGCAGACGTTGCTCACCTCCTGAGGGTCATTCTCCACCTTCAAGCCATCACCTCGTTTTTTGCATTTTCCTTATTAAAAGAAAAACAAAAATTATGGGGTGCAATCCCTGGGCCCACGGACTGCTAAAGGAGGAGCACCTTCCCCTATGTCCACTCTGCCCCCATGTCAAGTCAGTGCCACACTCCAGCTGTCCCCCTCAACTTCAGGAGAAAGACACAAACAGGCTGTTGGGCCACTGGACAGCTGGACAGAGCTGCAAGGTGCCAGGCCTGACAGAGCCTGGACTGCAAGGTGCAGGGCGAGGCCCTGTGGGGCTCAGTGGGTTGCTGGACGGGTCAGGTGATGAGATGGCCCGCAGTCCTGCGGCCCTGAGCTCTGTGGATTTGCTGCCAAAGGATGGGGCCCTTCCCAATGGCCTGGCCCCTCATGGCCCCCACACCTGTGTGCAGGGTAGGAGGGGTACAGAGGACACGGTTGGAGGTGACGGGCCTCCCCACTGGGGCAGAGCCCGGTAGAGATGAGAGAAGGTACTCCTGAGAGTTCTTTTTTGACACCCCCAGGACTTCAACCAACCACCGCTGGCTGGGAAGAGAGGCCCGAGGGTGGCATGCTGGCGCCTGGGGCCAAGGCCAGCCTGGCCTGAGAGTCTGCCTTTGACTGACCCAGGCTCTCCTGATCAGTGCTGGGGATGACCCAGTGGGGCTGGACCCCTGGGAAAGGCCCCAGGCCCAGCTCGGGAGCTAACACAGGCTCCGGTGGCTGCTAAGAAACAAAGAACTTGGATGCCATTACCCTTCCTGTCCCTTCATCTCTGGGATATTTAACCAAGGAGACAGGACTGCCCACCACCTGAGAATTCAGGGATCCCCAGACTCAGAGTAATGGACAGGGACAAACTGACAAAGCCCCTGAGAGCAAACCAGATTTGTTTACTTAAAACATCAACCTCCATCTCATCCCGCCCCTCGTGAACTTCCCACCACCGTGAGGCCCCATCTGGTGCGATACCCCACTCTGACAAGGTGCAGTGTGACCCCTGCCATGCTGGGCCTGGACACACACAGGTGTAAGCACACTGACCAGCAGGTGGGGAATGCTCCTGACCCCCCCCCCCCCCAGGATGCTACTGTGTGGCCCCAGCCCAACCAACACTTTCGCAGTGAGTTGAAGGGTGGGGAGGCAACAGGACATCGGGCTGCCCACTTCACTTCCGGAAGCTTCTCAGTGCACAGTTTGTGAGCTCTACCTTCAGGACCTCTGGACAGGACAGACCTGAGCCTGACAGCCTCACCTCAAGAACTCACCCACCAGTGCCTGAGACCGCTCACCATGACTACGCTCACAGCTGAGTGCCGTCTGCCGCTGCGGACAGCACTTGGACCCTGTCCACTGGGTGACCAGTGGGGGGAGACAGGAGGTGCCTTTCCACTCAAAGGGATTTCCCCCAACATGAGCAAAGCAATGCTGCAGGACGCCGGTGCTTGCAGGAGCTGGGACCTCTCCCTCCTGAGGTCCTGCCTGCCCGTTCCTCTCCCAGCCCCAACTGTGAGCTGCAGCCCTGGTTTTGGCCGAGTGAGCTCTCCTGAGTGTGAGGGTGCACACCCTGCCCCCTGTGTCTGGGAAACCTGCCTGGCCCCTCACTGGACATGGTGCACAGGGCACATGCCTAACACAGGAGGAAAGGAGAGTACTCTGGGGGGCTCCCTGGGCCAGAGCAGGGGCAGCCTCAGCACCCACAGCCCCTCACCTGAGTTAAGGGCAGAGTATACCCCCAGAAAGGGCCCCTTCATTCAGGAGACCACACACACTGCAGCCCCAAATGCTGACCCCACGCTGGGAAATCTGCCTACAGGAAACCCGTGTCCCACTCCACGGAAATGCGGACCTGGGGAGCTGATACTGAAGAAGGGGCCAGGAAACCCCCGCAATTCCAAGGTCCCCCAGCCCCCAACAAAGGCAGGTGCGTTTAGGGGAAGCACCGAGCCTAGGTAGGGTGTGGACAGTGCAGCTGAGCCCGAGTACCTGGTGGCCGCAGTGGTTGCGACTACGTCCCCTGGTTGGGATGGTGAACGGGTCACAGCCAGCATGTGCACACAGACCGCTCAGCAGAGAGGTCGGTGCAGGCCTGATGGGATGGGCTCAGCACAGCATGGCGAGGAGCCACTAGGCTCAGCGTCCCTGCAGACCCGCTGTGAGCGCCAGCCTCAGCCGCCCAACCCACTCCCAAAAAAACACAGGCCCAGGGGAGGGGACATGCACATTCTGAACCAGAAACCACAAGCCTATGGAAGACACAACTCTTTTCCAATGAAACCTTGTGACCAGAGGACGCGTGCAGCTACAGCCATGCCTGCAAGGCCAGGGGCTAAGTGGAGAGGTGAGAGGTCATGTCTGTTAGGTCAGAGGCCATGCCTGTGAAGTCAGACCTTGCTCACAACACACGCACACGCGCGCACATACACACACCTTCCCCCCTCCCCCGGCACCAGGGGGGATGAGCTCTCACCCAGAGGACCACAGAGGAGGAGCCTGTGACCTGACACGAGAAGACAGAAATGAGATCAGATGCTGCTGTGAGAGCAAACGGGGAACCTGCAGCCATCCTCCCACGGCCCCCAAGGCTTGGGTAGAGAGTCCCTGACAAGGACCAAGCTTGGTGAGCCAACAGCCGGATGGGTACCTCCACCCAGTGGGACCACGCGCTGCGGAGGAAAGGAGCTAGGTCCTGGGCTTTGGAAGCCGTGCCACGGTGGTCCAAAAGGAGGGGCTCCTGAAACAGCCCCACGCAGTCCTGGGGTTCAAAGTGCACCCTGCCATGCCACTGTGCCACATCTGTCCCTGACTGCCCCCGGGTGCTCAGCAGTGCAGGGATTAAACAGATGCTTAAAGCAGCAACAACAGGCCCACTGTATGCATCCATCCCCATCACTAGATGCGGGACCCAAAGGCCAAATGTGAGCAGTCAGCAGCAAACCCAACCCTCCTGCACCCCATGGTGCCTCACTGGGTCACACATGGGATAAGCATGTTAAAGTGGAGCAGATCCTAAGCCTGACAAGCGGCCAGAGATCAGAGCAGTCAGGACCCTGTGTCGTAATGCACAAGGACATGCAGATGAGAGGTGGGTGTAGGGGAAGAAAGGAGAGCTCTCCTGCTCAGAGTGAAGCATTAGGAAAAAGCCACTTACAATATAAAGATACACCTTACCTTTGTCAACCACATCCCAGACTTCAACTTTGACAATGTCATCGGTGGCTAAAATAGGGAGAAAAAATCCTAAGATTATTACCCAATATGAACTTCGGGTTTCACAAAGGTGGGCTTACAGGGCCATGCTGGTTTCTCCCTCCCCCAGGGAACCGGTCCCTACCCAGGGCCTTCGCCTGTGGCCCTGCCCGGGACACTCCCTCCCACAGGTTGGCCTGGCCTCTCCTCGGGCCTCTTGCTCAAATGCTGCCTCTCAGCAAGGCCAGCAGCAGACTGCAAGCATGACCCCGTCCATCCTCGGAATGGGCCCATGTCTACTTCCCACCCATCAGCTCTCCAAGGGCAGTGCCACTTCCTCCTGATTCTACTCCTTCACCCAGTGACCAGCCTCCAATCCGTTTTGAGGAAAGTGGCATCAAGTAACAACTGCTTGGGGCCGACCGTGGCTTGGGAGAGTGCGGTGCTGATAACAACAAGGCCACGGGTTCGGATCCCTATATAGGAATGGCCGGTTGCTCACATGAGAGAGCGTGGTGCTGACACCAAGTCAAGGGTTAAGATCCCCTTACCAGTCATCTTTAAAATAAAAAAATTAAAAAAAAAAAAAAAGTAACAACTGCTTGGGTGGTGGGTGCTAGAACTCTCCTGTGGGGCACTCGGAGCTGGCCCAGGTCAGGCCCCCATGGGCCCCACCCCACGTCCAAGATGTCTGAGCCGGGCCTATTCCAAGGCTTTCTTTGGAACTGCTGGTCTTGTGCCCAGCTGCCTCGTAAGAAAGAAAACCATCTTCCTGAGTCCCTGTGGCTATCTCGCCCCTCCTCAGCAGCAATTCTCAACTCTGGGGTGTGCCAAGAGCTGAGGCGGCTGACCACACCCACCTGAGGATCCCAAGGGGATGGGGAGTACTGGAGGGGAGAAGCATGCCCCGGCCCCACAAACAACCATGCCCTGCCTGCAGGCCACCAGCACCCAACTGCCCCCCAAATGGAAGTGGTGCTGTGGGCAGCAGAGCTTCTCTGGGTTGGCCCCACAGGCTCTGGGTCCTAGCCAGCCCAGCATGACTCTCCCAGGCCCCTCAGGGGAGCCAGTAGCCTCCAGAAACTGCACGGTTATCCCAGGATGTTAACTTGTCACTAAGTGGGAGTCAGAAGGCGCCTTTTAAAAAGGCCCCCACGTGTCCCACTGTTAACCAACTTGATTTGTTTATCCAATGAAAAGGAAAACATTTAAAATGGATCAAACAAACAAAAAAAACCAAACTGCCCCAGCCCACTCCACCCAATGGAGACCTGGCAGATGAGAGCCCTTTCCCATCCAGTGAGCCAATCTTGCAAACAAACCACATCCCACAATTCTTTCAGTGACACAAACTTCATATCACTTTTAAGTAAAAAGTTGGGCTTAAAGGACTGGAGGGCTTCTTTCTGGTGGTGCAGCAAACGGCAGGCTGGCCCAGGGCACAGGCCTGCAGCCAAGAGGCAGTGTCTGTGTCCATTGCAGCGGTGTCTTTTACCATGGTTAACATGGGCTGAGTACTCTCTGGCTCACTTGCAGCAACGGCTGTTCCTGGGCCTGAATCTCCAATACGAGAGGGAATCTCATGAATTCAAATCCCAGACAGCAGGATGATTCAAGAGTGGCTTTACTGTGTGTCCTCAAAATAGCTCCTTCTGAGTTCACCTGGTGACGCCCCCACACGCGATTTCCTCACCCACAGATACAAGGCTGGGGGGGGGCCTGCCCACACTCACTCTTGTAGTTCCAGTGGATGCTGGTGACCTGGATCTCTTGCGTGGGGATGTACTCCTCCACAAACTTCTTGCCCTGTAGCCGGTGCCACAGCGCGGTCTTGCCCGTGTTCCTGTCTCCGCGGATCACAATCTTCACTGAGGAAGACAGACAAATAAGGCAATACAAACCAAGTCAAAGTCATAATTGAAAAAATAACTTCAAAGAGACAGAGACAATCCCACTGCAATGTTTTTTTTTTTTTTTTTTTTTGCATGAGTCAGGCCCCAGGTGATGGGCATGGAAGGGAAGGGCTGGACAAGTGGGCACTGCCACTGGCTTCCCAGGACACACATGCTGGTCACGCTCAGGACAGCTTCTCACAGGTCGGGGGATGCCTGGCTGCGAGCAGAGCACCGCAAGTGGCCAGGGCCCAGCAGTTGAGTACCCAAGAGGTGCTTCCTCCTGGTCGATGAAGGCCACATGTGGGTAAGGCTCTTTACTTGGAGGAAAAATGGTCTCTACTTGGGCTGTATGCCCCCCAGGGATTGTTCGGTCTGGGTGGGGCTGCACAGGGTGCCCCAGGAGTCCAAGGAGCAGGCCTGAGGATGCCTCACACTTGCTTGTTTCTCAGTTCCCTGATGGCCTTGTCTGACTGCAGCAACACCAAATTCCTCCCCTGCCCCAAGTTCTCGTTCGGCTCAGCTGGGGCTGCCCTTCGGGGGCCTCCCCTCGCCCACCCCTCCTGCTACCTCAAGGCAACTGTCCTGACACGCTCTCGCTTCTTCTCCCACAAAACTACTCACCAAGCTCATCTCACTGCACTCCATGTTCCCTCAACACCCCAACTTTAGCCACCTGAAAGTATTCGTTTCTCTCAAACGATCTCAGGGCTGCGCCTCCTCTGCCCTCTGGATTATGGCAGCACAGGAGCTGTTACTCCCAAGGTCATGGGCAGACTAGCCCCGATTTCAACCAGAGGCCAGACGGGAACTCAGAAGAAAAGTCAAGACACTTTCACAGGGTCAGCACAGCTCTGGAGAACGTCCTGGGCCAACTTGAACCTGAGCTGACAGCATGCGCCAGCAATACCTGTGGGCTGGTGTGGAGGAACCACACACCCACAGTAAGGCCCCCCCAGGAGACGAGAGGGGCCCTCGTCCCTCCTTCCCTTTCAGTGAGGTAGACAGAGAGCCTGACTGCAGCCCGACCTTCCCCGGGCTCCAGGCTCCCAATATCCCCATGAGACATCCTCCAGGCCTGAGAAGGACATCCGTGTGTTGGTCCCCACATCCTCCTGTGAGCTGGCCCTAAACCATGCTATCTGCAGATGTGCCCACACAGAAGACACTTTTCTTTTCTTTGGTCATAAGGACATTAAGGACATGACAAGGAGACAGTAACAGCCCTCTGGAGCTGCGGGGCAGTGGGAAGGTCAGAGGTGGGGATCGTTGGAGCATCTCCACCACGTGTGGCCAAGAGGCAGGAACCCAAGGGCATGCCCAGTGGTTCCAGGCTCATGTGGGTTGCCAGAGGGCCACTGATCCCTCTGACAAACAGCTAGCACTTTTCCAGGGACTGCAGCAAGCTGCGTACCTACAAACATCTCATGGGAACCTCAAAACAAAACAGGCTACGTCCTTCCACAACTCAGAGACCTTAAGCAACTGACCCAGAGTGGCACAGCAGGAACGAGGAGCTGTGGCTCTGCTAACAGAACCAAGCCTTCCACATCCATCCTGCCTCTCTGGGGGCACACACTTCAGGACAACCACAGGGTCTTCCTTCCCCCATACCATTCTTTCCATTTTCTGTTATTTTAATACAACTTTTATTTTATTTTCTTAGGTACTATGTAATTATCTAGTCTTTCCATTTCTTGTTTTATATTCACACGAATTAGACCTTTCGTGTCTAGGGTGCTTCTGTTTAGACTTTCCACTCTACCCACTTTTTTTTTTTAAAAGATGACCGGTGGGCCGGCCCATGGCTCACTCGGGAGAGTGCGGTGCTGATAACACCAAGGCCACGGGTTCGGATCCCATATAGGGATGGCCGGTTGCTCACTGGCTGAGCGTGGTGCTGACAACACCAAGTCAAGGGTTGAGATCCCCTTACCGGTCATCTTTTATTTTTTTATTATTATTTTTTTTTAAAAAGATGACCGGTAAGGGGATCTCAACCCTTGACTTGGTGTTGTCAGCACCACGCTCA